TGGTTTCGGGGCAGGTGTCCCTCCAGCCCCCCGGTTGCCCCCCACGTCTCACTCCAACCCTGCAGCCCAGGCTGCCCTGTAACCACGGCCTCCACAAGGCCACATCTAGAAGGTTCTTCCCTTTTAAGGAAAGTCACTTGTTGCTTCCTAACATCACCAGGCTCCCGTAGAACAGATGATTAACACCAGCTTTTCTCCTTGGGGTCCTCGACCCACCGCACGCTCACCTGTGACCGGCCTTCAGTCTCCTGCATTGAGCAGCGAGACCCAGCCTCAGCCTTCACGGTCACCTCAATTTTCACGGTAACCGAGGACCTGGTGTCCTGTTACCTCCGCCAGCTCCATGTCCTGTTTTCTTTCTTTCACTTCCAGTCGGGCCTCGCGCTAAGCAGTGAGTCCTTGCACTGACGTCCACACAGCGCCAGTGTGTCTTCCCCTCCTGCACCTTGCAAATAAACGTGCAGCTGTCAGAAGCTCGCCTGTGATCCGTTCACGACCCGGGGGGTGGGTGCTGGGTTTGGTAGTGGCCCTGGAAAAATGTGTGTGGCATGAGTGCCCAGGAAGTGCCCGCACTTCCTCCCCTAGAACTGGGCTCAGCTCGGTAAACCAGGAAGCCCCATCCCTCCCTGTGCCTGGCACCTCAGTGCCGTCGTGGACAGGTTACAGGGGGCCCTTCAGAGCCACCAACCCTGTAGGAGGAGCAGTTTGCATTCTCAGTTTGCATTTGCACGTGCCCAGGCCCACCTCCCTGCGAGCTCAGTGACCACTGGGTGGCCTGGTGAGCCCGGCTCCAGAGAGCAGGGTGCATGTGGGAAAGAGCACCAGATCGAGGGGCTGGTGCCCTCCACCTCCCTCTGCTGCTCCAGGGTGTGGGCCTCGACACTCCTCTGTCAGCTGGGGACACGGGTTGCTGAGCAGGAAAGCGGTGTCAGGCTGGTGGCGTTTGTGCCTGGCCCCGAGTCAAGGTCATGCAGCCCACGCTCCTTTGTCAACAGCCCCTTGGGTCCTGCTGGTGCCTGTCATTGGGAACAGCAGGAGCACACCTGCTTCCTCAACCAAGCTGGGTTTATTAGGCCACACAACATGGGGGACTTCAGGTGTGCTGGTCAGCAGGTGTGAGAAGGGACTCCAGAGCTTGAAGAGAATGGGGCGACTTCAGAAGTGGGGTCTGCACCTGGTGTGTGCTGTCAGGAGTTGGGGATCTCCATTGGGTGGGTGGATTCCTTGGGGGGCACCACAGCTGTGGCTGGGAGGGCAGGGCGGAGGCTGCCCTGGGGGTGGGTGTAGGTATTGGTCATGTCCATGTGGGGGGTGGGCCCAGAGGCACAGGGCCCTGGTCGACTTGGACACAAGTCCTGAAGTCAGAGGAGCCTTGTCTGAGGTGGGCAGCCAAAAGTACGGGGCCAGTGGCCTGCCCTCAGCAGCGCTGTCTTAGTAGCCAAGTTTGGTTGGGGTTTTCCTAGTGAAATGTAGCCCAGCGGGATTCCTCTTGAAACCCTGGGGGCGGTGCCTTGGCTTCCAGGCTACACATTTGTAAATGACTTCATCAGGGGACCCTGCTAGGGAGAGTTCTGCTGTGTGTTTATCTGCATCCCTCCTGTCCCCCCAGTCCTCTTTTCTCCCTTCTTCTGTTGTCCCTAGGAGGGCTTGTGCCATGTCCCAAGCACAGACAGAGCACTTGGGCAAAAATAATTTGCCTTCCCTTAGAATGCAGTTCATGGGCACAGAGGAAATCCACTGTATGCCTGAGTGTGACAATATGTCCTTGTAATCCCAGGGACTCAGCAGGATCACAAGTTCGAGGCCAGCCTCAGCAACTTAGCCAGGCCCTGACTCAAAATAAATAATAACAGGGCTGGGAACAAAGCTCAGTGGTAAAATGCCCCTGGGTTCAATTCCCACTG